CTGTCTCGCAGGTGACAACTCCTTCCGCCTCTTCTTCGACGTCATCGTCATCCTCGTCTGCTCGCTCTCCTTCATCCTCTGCGCTCGCTCCATCATCCGGGGCCTGATGCTGCAGCACGTGAGCTCTAGCTACCCCCCCACGTCCCCCCCCACCACGGCGTAAACGCTGGGGACGGACAGAGCTGCCACCGGGACACCGTTCATGGTGTTGGTGGCTTTCAAGGGAGGCCCCTTTCCCCAACGGGAACGCTCGGTCAAAGCTGTGGGTGCTACCGGGCGGCCAAAACTCCACGGGTGATGGATAAAGGACACCCCCCATTTTTAAATTTTCTTTTTTCTCCCCACCCAGGAATTCAGCCGGTTCTTCCGGCACCGTTACAACCAGAACGTCTGCTTGTCGGACCGCATGGAATTCCTCAACGGTTGGTACATCCTCCTGGTGATCAGCGATGTCCTCACCGTCTTGGGAACCATCATGAAGATCGGCATCGAGTCCAAGGTACGGGGACGGCAGGGGAGCCGAGCTGGAGGTTTTGCAGATCTTGGGGGGGCCACTGGTGTCCCCGTGTTCCGGGGAGGGGACATTTCTGTGTCCCGGGCCATGAAAATGGCTTCTCCTGGGTGCTGGCAGCACGTTGTTTGCCCCCGGTGAAGCTGTCCCGGAGTCCCATCAGTGGATTAGGGGACAGGCGTCGCTTCGGAGGGGTTCACAGAGAAGGGGACCTGGCCTGGGTGGGACCCCAGAGTCCCCCTGTCCCCTTTGGGATAGGGAGATGGCAACAAAGGGACAGGCAGGGTCCTTCCTGGCTTGTGGCCACCGGGATTTCACTCGTCGCTAGCTTGTGGCCAGCGCAGAAGGTTGTTAGGGCTTCAGGGGACGGCGTTGGGGACTTGGGGGATGACGTTAGCCGTGTCCCAAGCCCGTGACGCCTCTGTCCCTGCAGAACTTTGCCAGCTACGACGTCTGCAGCATCCTCCTGGGCACCTCCACGCTGCTGGTTTGGGTCGGGGTCATTCGCTACCTCACCTTCTTCCAGAAATACAACGTGAGTGCCACCGGGGAGGTGACCCAGGGGACAATTTCCAGGACGGCTTGTCCCCAAGGTCCCCATCCTGCTCTGCCGGGGACCTCGGGGTTGCACAGCGGGGTG